GGGGGTGGGGAGGCAGGTGGGCTGCGTGACAGCCCAGAGGAAGGGGATGGCGGGTGCTGGGCGGGAAGCAGGGGTCAAGTCAGGAGGGATGGCTGGGGCAGGGAGAAACTGTCCTTTTTCTGGGGGGGCTGCATGGAAGAGAGAGTTATAATATCTTGTTTCCAAGTTGAAATGCTGGAGATGAAATGTTTCCAATGAAACCCCAAGTTGGTTGTTAATGTGCTGGGGAAACCAGTCATTCATTCAGGTGAGAAAAAGCTAATTAATTAAAAGGCACCAGGACCTGGAGCTTTATTTAAGTGGAAACCGCCTCTCAACCAGGGTCTATGGTTGGTAAGGGACCAACATCCAAAACTTGAAGTTGGGAACGATTTTTGTCAACTGTGTTTTCCTTCCCCAGCTGGTTTCAAGATCACTTTCCTTTTGATAGAAAAAATAACGATGATAACCTCGGTGAGAACACAGCCAGGGAAGCATTTTCACGTGTAATCCATCTGCTGTGGTTGCCTCACAAATGGACTAATTTTCCTGTCAGTTTTGATCATTCCAAGTGTTGGGGAGCAATGAAAACGAGAGGATGCATTTTACATTTAAAAAAATATGTATCTATGTTGTGTTAAGATATTGTACTCTGGTTGCTAGGGCTTCGATGTGCTGCCAACTATTAAAGACTATGTTTGAGGTACAGCTCCTTTTTTTTTTTAGCAAATGAAAATGATACAGAGCAACAAGCTACGCCACTGAAACGCTAGCAATAGCCTTAAAGTGTTACCTACATCTGGAGCATTCATCTGAGTTCTAAGGACAGACACAGCTCAAGGGCCCAGCTGCGGCGCATTCATTACAAGGACAGCCCTGGCCGCGTGCTCAGTGATTAGAGCATCAGCCTGTGCACCGGAGGGTTGCAGGTCCAATCCCTGCCTCCAGCCAGGCTGCTGCCAGGAGGCAACCAATCGATGTGTCTCTCTCACTTCAATGTCTCTCTCTCTCTCTCTCCCTTCCTTGCCTCCCCCCCTCCCTTCCACTCTCTCTAAAAAATCAATGGAAAAAATATCCTTACTCCTTGGGTGAGGATTGGGGGAAAAAAAGACAAAATGAATATCCATACAGTCCTTTCAAGCTCCTCACGCAGACCTCTTCAGAGGTACCGGGCCCCACAGGTCGGCACCACAGCCTAATCACCTTCAGAGGCGAAGGCCCAAGGTTTGCACACGCCAGTGTGCACAGCCACCCGTGAGATGGGAAAGAGCCAGGCCCCTCCCTCGGGAGGCTCAAGTATCTCGAGCTGTTTGGATAAGAGCAGCTGAGCGCAGAGGCGAGGGTGGGAAACACTCAGTGGGGAGCTGGCCATGGGAGGGGGTCTCATTTGCCTCTTCTTTTTTCTGGTATCAAGACTTCCTTTTACTGGAGTGGGGTTCCATTGGGCAGATTTCTGTATTTGTGGGTTTCAGTCATACACAATAAAAACTAGACACTAAACAGAAAGACGTTCCAGGCCATAAGCTAGGAAAGAACGAACTGGTCCCGGCCAAGAGCCAGTGAAGTGTCAAGGTGCGTCTTTCCACGTGGGAAGGTCCAGTGGGCTTCGTGTTGGGACTCGGTCTCCGGCTCTGGGACATGCAGAGACTGAGGGAGGGCCAGCCCTGTGGGAGCTCTTGCTTTGAAAGTGTTCGTCTCCACACCCCATTATGACTGTCCTCTCTAAAAATTACTGCCAGTCTTGGGAGGGAAAACAGATTCCTTTGTCATGAAGCTCCCAGGAGATAGAATCAGCACCAGTAATCCTCAATTCTAGGTCTTTCTGTTAGTAAGAATGATCCCACCCCTTCCTTAACTGCACAGTAGGTGGTCTGCGTGTTTTAAGGCATTGTAATCCTTGGACGTCAGGAGGCACTCTCATGCCAATCTGGGGCTGTGCTGTTCTGGGCTGTTGAAAGGCAGGGGCTGAAGAGCCAGTTTGCTGACATGCCAGGCCTCAGAGTGTCCCGTCTGGTGCCACCAGGTACCTGGAGGCCCAACAGCTGAGACACAAAGTAACCAACCGACTTGAACTAGTTACTGTGGCTATTACAGCTGTTACTATTTCAGAGACAAAACGCATTCTTTGTTCTTAAAGAGTTCTCAGTTCATGTCATCTACTCTCTTAAAACTTTCATTTAATTTCATTCTTCGAGTGTGAGAACACAGATCTTTTTGAGAATCAACACAAAAGGTCTGATACTTGACATTTCTGTTTCCTTTCCACTTTCTCCCAAAGACTTCGATTAGTTAGCAACTGGGCCAGTGTCATATCCAATTTCACTTCATTCTGTTGTATACATTATAGAGAATCTACACATATCTACTACATATGTGACATCCATATACACACATCACATGTATACACACATCTGTAATTTGCTTCAGTGTAAGATGCACCCCCCCGCACACACAGTACATGTACTTTGTTATCCTGAAAAGCTGAAAAGCAATGACCTAAATAAAAAAGCATTCTGCATTCTACCACTTTCAAGCTTAGAAAAAGCTGTGGCAATAAAGCTAAGAAACTTTATTTTTATAAATTAGGTCTTTTATGTCTTTTAGTTCCTAAGTCTAATTTTAACTTGGAACGTGACTTTAAAATGTGAAATTATAAACAACCCTCTCATGTCTCTCAATGCTGTAAACACACTTGACCCAGCAGTTCTAGAGATGGGGCTGGGGGAGGGTTAAGGAATTCATTTCACCCCCAGTTATACTCTTTAGAGTGAAAAGGTAGAATAAGTTTTATTTAGCTCTTAAGTACTGAAATCAATAGGACTTTTATCTATACCAGTTTGTAAATTATTACTTGGAGCATGGACTTAAACCAAACTGTGGCCTGAGTGTCTTTAATAGCTCCAAACTTCCCAGGACAACTCTTTCTAAATATTATTTCTTGCTGGGTGTTAAGAGTAACTAAGATAACTTCTCTGGATGACTTATATAGCTGTAACTTTAACCTCAAAAATTCCCTTATTCCCATGGTGATGAGCCAGAGTGAGAGAGTGGGAGGGAGGGAAATTACAAACTTCTATATATAAATTCTTTTTAATTGGGAATTTAAGCCATAGAAGTTATGATTTTAAAAAGGCAGGGAAGGAAGGGAGGGA